TCACACCCAATTGGCCACAAGACTGGGATGAAGCTGAGGTCATGCTTCTGTGCTCCACCCTTGACTTTCCAGTTTCATCTAAGCGAGCTCCCCCGAGAAAGGAAAACTCCCTCCATCCCTGCTAGACTAATTAACCAAGGGCCCAGTTGCTGCTCTGCAAATGTCGTCTATCGGAGCCTGGGAGGCCCAAGCTGCCGCGGTGGCAGCGCTCCTCGTCAAATGTATCGTACTACCGGCCGGCACAAGCAACCTCTGGGACTCGTACGGCAGGGCAATGGCCAAGCGGATCCACCAACTAATGAAGGTGGAAAGGTAGGAATAGCACCTCTGCCGTCTGGAAGGGCCCATCAGACATCCAACTGGTGCCACTGCTGTTCACGTTGCTTAACCGGATCTGGGCAAAAGTCTGGGAGAACAATCTCCTAGGAACGATGGAAAATAGAATTTACCTTTGGCATAAAAACCAGATCTAACCTCAACACAGCCCTGTTGCTGTGAAACAGGCACAAATCCTCCCTGGAGGACAGAGCCCCCAACTCTGACACTTGTCTTGCCGACGTGATAGCTACTAAAAACACCACTTTAAGAGTTAGGAGTTTCAGGCTAACTGTCCTCAATGGCTTAAAGGGTTCAGCCATGAGGGCCCATAACACAGTAGGGAGATTCCATGTGGGACCACTGGAGGGTGCACGTTGGAGACCTCCCGAAGAAACCTCTTAACAAGGGGTAATTGGGAGAGAGGAACCGAGCCCTCGCCTGGGAGAACTGTAACAAGGGCAGCAAGCTGCCTATGCACAGTGCCCAGGGAAAGCCCCTTATCCAACCCGTCTTGGACAAAGTCCAGGACCTGTGGCACTGAGGCTCTGGTGGGCACTACCTGGGTAGCCTGACACCAGGCCACGAAGGAGACCCAGGTGGATTCATAGATCCTTGTAGTAGATTGTCTGTGTGAGGCCTCTATGGTTCTAATCACTCGTAGCGACAAGTGAGCATCCCTCAGGCGCTCCCGCTCAATTTCCACATGGCTAGTTGCAGCCAGTGTGGCTCCAGGTGTACTAGCTTCCCCTGGTGTAATTTTATCTTCCCCTCCAGAATCACCATGATCTGCAAACCAGGCCCTCCGCGATCAATGTGATGCCACCAGGATCAGCTCTGCCTGCTCCTGACTAATTTTTGAACTACCCTGGTGAAGAGGTCCACCACCGGTCGTCTGAACCTCTGGCAGATGCTCTGAAACAGCTCTAGGGGGAGTCTCCACTCTCCATTGTCCACTGTTTCTCAACTCAACCAGTCTGCCTGATGGTTGTCAACCCCTGTGATGTGCTCCGCCCGGATTGACCGCAAGTGTCTCTCTGCCCAGCGACATCGCCTCGGTGTGCAGTGCCTTGGAACGTGTGCTGCCCTGCTGACTGGTGTGGGCCTTGGCCGCCACGTTGTCAGTGAGAACCAGGATGTGACAACCCTCGAGGGAGACTTGAAAGTGTTGACGCGCCAGATGGATTGCCCAGAGCTCCAACCACTTGATATTGTGTCAGAGCTCCTACCATCATCACTGACCCTGCGCCAACTGAGACCCCAGAGTCAACCCCCAGCTGAACAGATTGGCGTCCATGGTTAGGACGAGGTGCTCCTGGTCCCTGAAGTCGCACCCTTGGAGCAAGGCTGGGGACAGCCACCACTTGAGAGATGAGTGGCCTCAACCTTGGCCAGTGAGCTGCTGGTGTTGGCCCTCTGGAACAGCAAGAGTCGCCACTGCAAAGTCCTGGCATGCCACCTCACCCACGGTACTACCTCGATGCAAGATATGAGCTTACCCAACAAGCTGGAGACAAGGACTATGGGAACATAACGGTCCCTGAGGACCTGCTTAACCATCTTTACCAAACTGGACCTGCGGTCCGGGGAGAGGAAAACTTCCCCTGAACAGGAATCTATAACCGCCCCCAAGTGGAGGATTCTAGTGGACGGGGAGAGAGAACTCTTGTCAAAGTTAACAGAAAAACCTAACCATTGTAGAGTGTCTATAACTTGCAGAAGGTCCACCCTCATCTGACTCGGGGGACACCCCCTGGACGAGGATGTCATCTAGGTAGCAATGTAATCTAATGGGAAACGCCCTTAGGTACGCCGCCATTACAGCCAGAACATTGGTGAAA